ATGTATTATTATTATTATTAAAACAACAATCAAACAAGAAAAAGAGCCACTTTAATGTCTCATTAACTTGTTAAATCAGCTTAATATTGTTGTTTTGTTTTATAAACTATAGTCCTTCCTTACCGTGTTTAAGCATAATGTAGTATTTTCTTTTCTTTTTCTGATATCCGACGTATTATTGCCTTTGTAAATCAAATTGTTTGGCTAAAAAAAGGGTAGTTTGGGTGATTTCACACTTCAGGTGGTGTCTTTTTGTGATCTGCAACACAATGCTCTTACCCTATCGTGGGACTTATGTTGTGGTCGAAATGATCCTGAACGAATCGGCAAACAATGCTCGATTTGCCAACTCCAGTGTCCTGAAAACAGAAGGTCCCACATCAGTCACAGCACTCTGGACAGACTCACATGTCACTAATTGACCCCTATTGATTAGGCAACTGTCTGGTCACATGCCCACCACATCAAATAGATTCCTTTTAGTCAACAACAAGCCCCCGAATTTATAGTCAATATTACTTAACACAACCCACTGCATCTCCCAAAACACCTAAATAACAAGTAAATTAACATGAAAACTGAGCGCTTTAAAGGAGCAGGGTGCAGGATTTAGTGGCATGAAGCCAGGCGTCTGTATCTGACGACACGAGAGCGAGAACGAACTGTGTGTAGGAGAAACTACGGCGGCTGGGAAACTTGTGAAAAAACACTAAAAGCCCACATCTGGAGCCAGTGTTTGGTTTGTCCGTTCTGGGCTACTGTAGAAACATGGCGGTGAAACATGGGGGACTCCCTGGAAAGCGAGCCGCGGCGTCTCTGCAGATAAAAATGTCTCATTTTAAGGTGACAAAAACACAAAGCTTCCTGTAACCAGCTGATTATACACTAATGACAACACACCTATGAATATCTCTGCCTATAGATGCTCCTAAATGGACCTTTAAGGCCTCTTTTTGGCTGCCTGTGATTTACTCCAGGCATACTGACAGCTCTTATCCTGGCTTTAGTCAAATAATTGAGTTAAATTATAAATAAAACCTCCTTTAGCTCGCACACAGCCATGCAGAAGGATAACAAAAGACAAATGTCTTTAAAGTCTTGGCTGTTAAAGTGCTTGGTGAGCTTGTCGGTGGCCTGTGGAGGAATGCGCAGGCCCCCCCTCGGTAAAAACGTTAGTGTACTTCTTACAAAGTTCCCCGTTTTTACTTTCATTGATTAAAACGACCACTTTGTAGTCCAAAGGCGTCTCTCGTTGTTACGGTCTCATAAAGACAGACAGAGACAGACAGAGAGAGAGAGAAAGAGAGAGAGAAAGGGGGGACTCTGCTGTGTTTTGCTAACGCAGCAGGAAATATAACGGCTTGTCGTTGTGTAGCGGTTAGTCCGGTGGTGACGTAATGGGTGATAATAACTGTCAGAGCCGTTAAAACGTAGAAGACGAGCACGCGACGACCGTTAGTCTACTTTTAATTTTTATTTTTTTTTTAAAAAGGGGAAAAAAAACAGACAGCCGTTAAGACACCGCGAGGACAAGTAAAGTAAAATGACTGCTGCGCCCACCGGCCGATCAACAAGCTATCAACGTTAAGTTAAATTCTCAAGTTTTCTGACGAAGAGCAACACGATAAAGTGTCTTTTTTTTTTTATTTTGTATTATTTATATAACCGACGTTTATTAGAGTATCAGTCGTAGTCAGTTTGGAGACGCTAACTCCTGTTTTTAAACTCAAACACTCGAAGCAGACAGAAGGAATTTCCCCCAAAATGCATCAACAAAAAAAAACATCTGCCACTTACCCCTAAAAGGCAAACTTTGAGCTCCCTTATGGCCATGGCTAGTTGTGAACTGTTTTTAAATCATTATTTGACAGTGTTCACTCAGTGTCTTTGTCCCGTCATGCTTTAAACTCTGTTTTTTTTCCTCTTCTTGGATAAAAGAGAAACCCAACCCTGAGACAGACAGGCTGACCATCTACTCTCAACCAGGGTGAAGCTGTGTAACGGGACAGACAGAACTTCCGGTGGGGGGGTTTCAAAATAAAAGCCGCATAGCTTGACATGTTTTAAGACCTCAAAAAAAAAATAGTCTGCTTTGAATAATTATAAACTTTAATTACCGTGTAAAAAGAAATATTATGGCCTATACTCTTCTCCCTCATTAAAAGAAAATTCCCTAATCTATCTAGACCCAAAATTGCTTATTTCAAAAGTTAATGTTTGCGCTCTTAAGGCTTCAAGTGTTGTATATCACACTTGTGTAAGTTGCATGTTGGATCATATTGGACCTTGTTATTATTATGCCTTAAACACACATTTGAGATAAGCATAAGGGACATTTCACTATTCAGAAAATGAATGTAAAAGCAGTCTTCTAGTATATATATCACACATATATCATTCTTCTTCTGTGGAGGTCAAACATCTAGATTAAGTAATAATAGGCATTTTTTGATTGGACAGGAATTTATGGAATTTAATTTAGTAATAATAATATAATGAATGTTGTGAATTATATTAACAATAATCGTCATGAACAGAGACATCGTGTTTCAGTAAAGAAGCTTTGGTACTAGATTTGAATTTACTCACCTATATTGAAGCTAATCCACTTGGCTATAGAGATTGTATTACAGAGGGACAAAATACAACAAACAAACTCCAGACTAAATTCATCCCACCTGGTAAACACATTTCTATCAAGTCAAGTTTGAAATACTTTTAATTTTGAAACCCAGTTAGCTTGTATCCGGTCTTTTTCTGGCTGGTTTTGTCCTACTTGACGTGGCAACTTCCCAAATCGGAAACCAGTTAAAAAACCATGACAGAAAAGTCGGGTGGATCCGCTATCTCTGAGATATAAAGCCTTATTCTGAGTCAAAACCCAACAACACCACCTCTCTTCCTCAGAATGGATGCAACCTCATCTGGCTGAGAGAGGGAAAGTATTCAGAGAGGGTGTAATGGAAAATAAAGCACTAAATATGGACCACAATTTAATTAAAAAGGTAAATATTATATATGTTATCAGAGAAAAACACAGCGATTCAGATAAATTATTTTGATTCGACACTTTATTTCTTCACAGCATTATTCTGTCTGCAACAATAAGCTACAAAAGCTTGTAACAATATGAAAATAACCTTATGAGAAGCTTCTGAGTCCAATCTAGCATTTTATCTGTTTCAGTCACAGGATTAATAAACAGGTTGAATCATGAGTCCAGATGAGATTGCTTTGATTTGCCCCGTGACCAAAAGCAGGGGCAGTCACACTAGCATACTCCATACAGGTCATTAATAATAATAATAATAAAAAAAGAAACATGATAACACATAGGGGCTGAAAATACAGTATGTTTGCAATTTTACAATAATATACACAAATGGTAAGTAAGCCAGGCCATGCCCTTGCTTTAAATATCACTGAACAATGACAGTACTTTGCAAAAGTCATGAATCAATTGTGAAATGAAATGATTGATTTGTAATCTTGTGTTTGTTTTTTACTCACTTCCAACTGATGCCATGAACATTAACTCCACACATCGAGAGTTAAGATACACAAATACACAACAAAACAAAAAAAACAAGCCTCCTGCGTGTCTCCGCACACATGTTCGGCGACGATAATCATCACTACAGTTGTTACTTCTAGTTGTTACTTACCCTACATTTTGTTATTCCATCATTAAAATGGAGAAATGTTTCTTCTTCCCCCACATTTCTGTTGTTTGTGCGATAGTGAGATAACAGAGAAGATGATTGCACTACAGAGCAACGTGTGGTTTCACAGAGCGACTGTAACAACGCTGCCTCCAGCTTCATTTTTATTTATCTACATTTCGCAGTGATGAATATACTTTTGTTGTGTATTTGTTGTCCGTTCATGTTTTCATCCACTGGTCAGTCGCGAGGTACAACGCCCACTATCTTTTTATGTGCATCTGCTGTTCAAAGAAAAGAAAGCATCTACAATATATTTATACATATATTCATATATTAATAAAAAGCTGAAATTTAAAATCAATGTATCTCTCGAATAGCCGACTTAAATATATAATATATAGATAGACCAATCATAAATTCTTCATTATTCAAAGAGCTTTTGTATTAGTGGTTCTCTGGGGAAACGTATCCAGTCTGGCACCTTCAGTTATGGCACAGTGGTCTCTATCCTAACATGTCAAATTTGCATCTAGGTAAGGGACATAGTGAGATACAGGGACTGAGATTATATCTGGTCAGTGCTCATTTCTTGAGCCCTTACCAGCAAAAAATAAACTTTATGACATAGACTGGCAACGCGCCTACTTTCTCCTCCATCCCCTTACTTTCTTTATAAATCTATTCATCCCCCCACCTCCTCCTTCCTTCATACAGGCATGGCACCGTGGATTTTGATTAAAGGTCCACCTAGTCTCTCACAGCAGCACCCAGTTGTCCGCTACAACTCTATTTCTAGTTTTTTTTTTGTGGTTTGTGTGGGAAAAATGGGAATCAACGCGTTTGATTTCTGCTAAAAGAGTCAGAACGCAAAAACAGATTTGTCCGTGGCTGCCTATTGACGGACACAACTACTAATGAACCCATGGATCCAGCAAAGTGAAATCTCCAGTGGATAACGAGCGACACTACGGGACAACTGACCAGCGGTGGAGACGTACAGCAGCACAGAGCCACCAAATACATCACTGAGATGACATCTCACATGTTGGTGTCTCTCCTGTCTTTGTTCGGTGAGGGCTTCGAAGGATCCTTAGCTGCCTTCCCATTGGCCGCGGCAGCAGTGTCTGCACAAGCGGCCACTGTGGCAACCAAGCGTTTGGGTTGCTCCTCGCTGCGGGGCTCCGGGCTAGGTTGTGGGGGCGGGGCCTGCTCGGGCGGCGGCTGGACGGTCATTTCCTGCTGCAGTTTGTGGCTCTGCAGGAGGCGGAGCTGGACGCGGAGCTCCAGGATGGCTTCCTGCTCCTCGTGGATGGCCTGGTTCAGGTGGGTGTTTTTGTTCTACAGGGCCATAAAACACAGCTCGAGTTTGCTCGTGTACATACTCTCATACTATAAACATCCACAGAAATAAAACCATCTTAAATTCTCAAAGTCTATAAACACAAACACAAATAACACAAATAATATAGTGTAATTTAAATCTTTTACTCTGTTGAAACTCAACACACTTCAGTCTGCGTGAAACAACAGTGTGTGCTGAATGTTCTTCTCACCTCCAGTTCCTCGTTTTGTTTCTGCAGGTCTTCAAGAATCATCTGCAGCTCTTCCTCATCTTCACTCTCACTTTCACTATCTGATGAATACTCCTCTGTCTCACTGCGACCCTGCTGCCGACTGAGGAACACAGTGCTGGGTTACCTTTAATGCATGTAATGCAGCACATTTATTACCTTAAATGCTTTCAATCTTCTCTCACCTCTGTATGTCTGCAATCTCCGCTCGCAGTCTCTCAATTTCTTCCTTCTCAGTAGCAATCTGTCTGCGGAGCACCTGCTCAAGAGAGATCAGCTCCTCCTGCTCTGTTAGGATCTCATTTTCCTGATTATGGAGAGGAGGTGGGGATTACATGGAAGTTTAGTACAAGTTTAAAGACAATTTCAGGTTTTTAAAACACATGTGGTGGCATTTTGTTGCTTTAAGTGCATTCTGAGTGCTGTGTTTGAATGACTCACCTGCGCTAAGAGGAGGTTGATGACTTCCTCTTCATTCTCAGTCATTTCCTCTTTTGAAACATCTTCCTTTGAGAGGCTTGCTATCTCCTGGGCTATCTTACTCTCACACTCCTACAAAGGCCAAAGCAGGAAAGATAATGAAATAAAGCATAATGGTCAATTCTGATTCTCCCCGTGAACCTTTTCTATTGTATTAAATCTTTTTTATATTGCCTTATCTTGTGTTTTTATGTAAAAAGCACTTTAAATTGCAATGTTGAAATGTTCTATACAAATAATCTTGCCTTGCCTTATGATATTAATCTTTGTTTAGACTCATTTTACAGGCAGTTGTTTATAGTATTGGACTGCATTATATGGCATCATATTCTGTCCCCATGATACCATATGCATCAGTGCAGAAATGACAAAGTAGCACAGGAGTACCTCTGAATAACAGCAGCTATTCATCATGTTTATGTGCATTAGCGTGCTTGAACTTCATTCCAAACACTGAAAATGTATATTAGTGCTGTAACTGAACAAGCAACAGCTCGCAGTATGTTCGTATGATTAGCCTTGCTCTTATTAAACAAAATAAGAAACATACATTTACACATATATGGTATCCAGACACAACTTACCTGACGTTTGGCTTCCCGCAGTTTGCGTTTTAGAGCGGTCAGGATTCTCTGAACCTCCCAGAGCCTCTCCTCTTTAGATAAGTCCTTCACCCCTGCCTGCAGGTCCCTGTGCAGGCAGTTCAGCAGGAACTCCTTAAAACACAAACACAGTTTTATTACATCTCCAGAACAATTTAAAATGAGTGCAGTGAATTTAAAATGATGTACAATAGTCAAACAAGTTTCAGTTCCTTAATTACAGCAATCAGTGAAACCTGTGGTCCTTGAATTATGATCATGAAACAAATATGCATTGACTTCTGATCTCTTGAGTATCATTTCTTGTAAGAAGGTTCACTGGGAATACTTTTTCTTAACACTGACTTCACAAAGTTACAAGTTAAAGTTGTCTGCACCAGGTTAAGTGTCTCCAGTTTTTGTTTATTTTGCAGTGTGATGCATTCACTGGCATATAAATTAAATAGCAGGAACTTCTGGTACATGGTGACAAAATATCAAGACCTCGTACACTGAGAAAACAGAGGAAAGGATAAAGATGTGCACTGCTGACAAGACAATGTAATATAAACAGAAGCAGCTTACTTTGCTAAATTCCTGCTGAATTACTACGTACATACATACTGTGTAACACTTTAATCCCGACTTAAAGTGATAACAATTTATCATCCGCTTACTTAGATGTAAATATTTGAGAGAACTTCTAAACAGAAGAAGACATACAGTATATACACATTCTACCAAAGGCATCATAAAGTAGGTGCAAAAAGCAGCAGCACCCTTGTAAATTATTAGGGTCCAGTGTCTTGCTTAAAGACTCTTTTATAAGAAATGGATGAGGGCTGCAACTACAAATTATTTTTATTACCTATTAATCTAACTTGTCTTTAAAATGTCTGAAGAAAGTTGAATGTAATGTGAGCAGGAATCCTCACAAAAAGAAATATTGGCTTTTTTGATGATTGACAATTATCTGAATTTTGTAATTTAAAATAATTAAAAAGCCTCTCAAGTCTGTCTGTTCAATATGAGCTGGAGCTAGCTAGTTAGCTTAGCATAAACACTGAAAAGTGGGGAAACGGGTTGTGTAGCTCTGTATAAAAAGGTCCACCAGCACCTCTAAACATTACTAATTAACATGTTATATCTGGTTTGTTTAATCTGAGTTTCCTGTCCTGTGTCTGTGAGGCTTCGTATTAAACAAACAGACATTAGAGGAATCTCTTTCAGCAAGAAATAAAGTAAACATATTTGTTCTCAGAATGTCAAACTATTTGAATTTTGAATCAATTGCATCAATAAATGAATGAACTAAAATCAACAAATTGGCTGCAGTTGCACTGAACCCACCTGTCGTCGGATCTCCTCTTTGATGCTCTCCTGAGTCTCGGGCAGCGCCGGCATCGTCGCCATGTTGGACCAGCGGAGTGGCCGCACCACGGGCTTCAGGACTACGTCTCCAAACAGCTCCCTCACATGTGTGAAGAACATGTAAAGAACACGGTTCCCAATCTGAACACAAGGTAAACCAATCAGTGAAGACCTCGCACATGAGCTAGTGTTTGCATCATGTGTTAGACTGTAGTATGAAACGTCTGCACCACATTCTCAACAATACAAATTCCTGCATATTTACTTAGACTGATTAAACTGACCCTGATCTCCTCTCATTAATTGAGAGAAGTGTTTATTTAGCAGTGTTGTAGCAACTGCTGCTGTTGGTTCAGAATAAGTGGAGCAGCCACAGCTACGTCCCCTATGGGAACAAATTAGCTTCACTAAACTGGGCCAGGGTTTCAGACATGAACTAACTGTTTGATCCAATAAAAACTCAGTTGGTTTGTTGCTAAGGGGAGGTTTCCTATCTTTGAGCCTGAGCCCAAGACCTATTTTTCTGTTTGATGTTTAGTTTGCCTGTTGTTGTCAAATTGCTGCTCTCTGCAACATTTCTACTTCTTTTCCCCTCCATTTCCTTCCTTTGTTATCTTTTCCCCTTAATCTCAATTTCCTTTTACTCCGTTCCTCTGCCCTTCCCCTCTGACCTGTATGGTTGGGTTGAGGACGATGGAGATATTCTGAATATTCATCTTGGTGTCCGCCTCCCTGACGATGACGTGGTCCATGTGCGTGACGACCCAGGAGAGAATAAGTCGGCTCTCCGCCGGCACCTCAGCCAGCAGCCTCTGGAACTCCGTCACCTTCTCGGCCTCCACCTGGCGCCCGCAGGCGTCCTCGAAGCGCTGGGCCAGATCTCGGCCCAGCAGGTTCTCAGGCAGCTCGCGTAGGTACTGCTTCAGCAGGCTGGCAACCGTATGGGGGTCGTACTCCTCCAGGCAGGGACACTCCTCACGGTCATATGCTGCTTTCAATTCATCCACCTTGGACTTCATACCTGAGAGGGACAGAAGTTGATGTGAGTATCAATCAGACATTTAAATATTGAGATACATTTACATTCTAGTTATAGATATATATTTTTGCAATTGGGTGGATGATGGGAAAACAGCCGCCCAAAGTTTCTCTACCTGAGACCCGATAGATGCCTTCACACTTCATGCCATAACTTTCAATGTAGTCCACACATTCTCTGAAGACGGCTGGCAGCTGGATACCGTCATACAGAGCTGTCCTCTTCACAGCTTCAGCCAGAGGTGCTCCAAAGATGGGCCTGAAGGTGGGGATCTCCACTGGGACTGGCTCTGCCTCTGTTGTTGGTTTCTTGTTCTTCTTCTTCTTCTCCTTCCACTGTTTAACCACGTCTGCAGCCGTCAGGTCTTTAGATTTCTTATCCTTGGCCTTTTCCTCTTTGGGGCCCTTCTCCTTCACCTTGAAGTCCTTTTCCTTCTTCTTGGAGAAGCTGGGCTTCTTGAACACATGGATTCCCTTGGAGCGCTTCATCTTGGATGGGCTCTCTGCTTCGTCCGCTGAACTGTCCTCCTGGAAGGCAGCGTAACCTTCCGCTGTGAAAGTAAAGAGATTAGGAAGAGGCAAAAATAGGGTTAGATCTGAGGGGAAAAAACACCCGTTTTCTTTTCCTCCTCCTACGACAGAACCATAATAGCAGTGAAATAGAAACAGGAAGAGAGATGTGTGAGAGAGAGAGAGAGAGGATGGCAGAGGAGGGGGAGAATGGGGACTTAGAAAAGAGGTCAGCCACCGATTTAGCATAGCTCCCTCTGCACCTTACGCCTCTCTTCTCTAGAACAAGCTCAGTTCAAATATTTTTCCTCAGAGCAAACGCTACAAGATAGTGTCAAAGACGGTTAAGCGGCCTCTTCGCAGTTTTTTGTCTCCTCTTACCTCCACTCTGGGTTTCTCTGAGAACAGACCCTGTTTATCACACCGCTGCCTGAGACACACCTTCAACTGGGCTCTCTGGGTGTGCTCTGAAACTGTCCATCTCTTCCTCTCTCACACCATACCCTGTTGTAGGAGCTAAATACAGTCATGGAAAAATCCTGATACAAAGTGGACAATGAGCCTGACAACCCCTCAGTGAAAAACATTCTCAGTAAAGGAACATTTCTCACAGCTTCAGGCAGCAGCAGCCAACAGGATGGAAAAGTTGGAAGCTCTCTCTCTCTCTGTACTCAACTACTACTACTACTGAGGAGACCTTCAGCAACAGTCCGAAACTGTTCTAAAGCAGAGGGTTTAAGTGGCCTGAGAGTAGATGACCTGTATGTATTTGGTGGTTCTGAAATGTTAAAGGATAAGGATGGTGAGATACTAAATTTTTCTTATTTGCAAACATGAAAACAGTCCAGCGTAGCCCGAATATCACATCAATGAACACACACCCTTCACTGAAGGAATGGATTATGTTTAAGCACCTTAGCAACACTTTCTTCTGTCCATGAGTACTCATCTGCATGGCAACCATGTCTGAGTATACCGTTTCCATGTAAGGTTGCCAAAATGAGATGAGATATTATCTCATAATTAAGGTGTTAAAGTGTCACTACTGTATATTACAGTGTGAAAACACAGCAGAAACAAACTATTACTGTTGAGCAATTTGACAAAAGAAATTAAATATATCCAAGAGTGCGAGTCACCCAGTAAACTCTACATTTTAAACGTTGCCAATAACCAATATTTCTACTAGGAGTTACCTTAAGGTACTCTCATACCTGTGAACATTGTTATGTTATACTTGTAGCACAAAGTCACTCATGCTTTCAGCTATTTCTCGTAGCTTGGACAAAGCTCAGAATATGGCTGAAAGATCAGAAGTTTAGTGACAAACCTTCAAGCTCAAATTACAGTATCATTTCTTACTACGTTTCTCCTTCTTCTTGAACTTGTTCTTCTTCTTGCTGTGTTCTTTGTCATCGTCTGAGACGTAGGCGTCCGGTGCCTCATGGTGGTGGCCGTCGTGAGGTGGCGACGGTTCCCCGGTGCGGTACAAGCCGGGGAACTTGGTGGGGCTGATCTCCTCAGAGCTGGGGGTGCGGGCCACACCCCCCGGGTGCTCCGCCCGGCGCTGCTCTGCAGGGCTGCTGCTGGGGGGCAGGAAGCACTCAGTCATGGCTGCCCTGGCCTTATCACTCCTCTGATTGGCACATCACCTCTCCATCACACCTGCAGTGGCCGAAATATAAGATACCATGACAACAATAAAACCCTGCATTCGACTTCCACAGTGTTCCTTCTGCTTGTTATCCACGTTTTATTTTATATATTTATTTTGTGTTGACTTGTAGTAATACAGATCCTATTTATTAGGCTGCTCCAATCAGGGTTTTTGGGGCCAATCACGATCGCTGGAAGCAGTATTTCCTCACAAACTACTTTAATCTGCCGTGGACCTGTTTACAGGTGTTTACAATTGTTTTTAATGCAGCTTGAGTGTATGCTACAATCGACTGAACGTCTTCTCTCGGTACGTTTCCCCTGAAGTACTCACAAAAGAGATCTCGATCACAATGAGTTTATCTAACTAAATAAAAGGTTAAAAGATGTATTTAAAATATATGTAAAGAAAATAAAACACTGATTCTGGCTCTACTAAGAGCTGCTTTGCATAACAGAAGTAGCTTATAACTATGTAAGACCTCATTATAGCAACACAAACGTACATTAACAGCAACACAAAGACTCAGCAGCATGTAGTTTTGGTTTTAGAAAAGGAACTTCGTACACATAGTTCAGAAATCCTGTTAGAACAAGAGGACAATTTAAACAATGAATCATTAAAACTTTAAGCTGAGATACAATTAACTAAACATGCATTATTTGTGCAGCCAAGGTGTGATAATGTAGTCAAAATAAGTTATTTCCCATCTAGATTAACACAATCTGCAACAGATTATTGATTTGAACACAAACTCAGACAGTCTGTATTAGCTGCAGCCCTCTCCTCTCCTCTCCTCTCCTCTCCTTTCTTTCTCTGGTTATTTAAAATGCGTCTGTATGAAGAGAACAACTGCAACAGTAACATCCACCCACCAGATGGGGCTCTGCTTTATGAACAATCCTCCATGTCCTACTTCCAACATGCCTGTTCTGACACCCACAGCCCACCAAAGGAAACCTGCAGTCCACTTCATCAAGCACAGAGACAGGGATTTATCAGAAACACTGCAGGATCACTGCAGATAAGCAGCTATTATGTGAATCTGATGAGCTCAGAGTTCAGATCAGTTGAAACAACACTATCTACAAGGCTGTCTGCATTGTTCGTGTTAAATTAAGCACAAAACGGCCTCGTCTGTCAGGTTGTACACGTTTTAGCAAGCAGATTCAATTACGTAATCGCTGCAAGGGTGTGTGTGTGTGTGTGTGTGTGTGTGTGTAAAAGCCCCAGTTTGTCCTACTAATCGATGTAAGCTGTTTCTCAGTCTGACTGCAGGTTGAAGAGCTCCTGTTACACATTGATAGTAGAAACAAACCTGAAGTTTGGTGGTTAGTTTGGTGCATTATCAGTTCCTTCCGAGAAAAACCGCTGCAGCACCGAGAAGATGCGTGTGATAAATGATGTAACACAGCAGCTATACCTTCACTAAACACTCTGTAATTAAACTCTGCACACAACTAATGTCTGTCTGACATCTGAACCTTTCTTTTCGCTGTGGGCAGATCATCCTCCTTCTTTTCTGGCCCTTTCCTGTTTCCAGATCCAGCACAACCAGTCACATATCACCAACCTGCTGCTGAAATACCCACTTCAGTTTCTGCACTAACGTATTTAAGCCTGTTTCCATTAAAAACCAACCTGCAGAAAGCAGAAGCTCTCCTCTGAATGGAGAGGCCCAGACCTGACTTCAGCTACCTGCTAAGCTATCTGATTAGCCAGCCTCTCCGTCACAATTAAAGCTCCACTTCCTTCCAGACGAAACCAACGCGACATTTATTCTCATCTACGTGTGCTGAAGTCTACTGTGCCGCCGCTGTACTGTCGTTGAACACACAAAACACCACAGACAAGAAACTTTACCGAGTACTATCCCGTTCGGTCAGTTTCGGAGTGGAGCTTCCGGATGTCTGTATACTAAATAAACCGATCTGCGCTTGCGCGGTAGCCGAAGTGCGTGAAGGGAAATGTAGTCCGAGAGCGAATACCTCCATTGGTTGGAGTTTCTCACCACAAATGTATAGTCTATGTAGGGTTTTCTTGGCTGAGAGTGATCTGGGATTAATGAAGAGTGTTTAGGCTGTGGTGTGACTCTGCTCCCAACCACAGGTCTGCTGTTACACAAGCCTGTGTACAAAATAAACTGTCAAACAATGTTTGGAATAGCGGCTATAATCTAAATTTGGTGAAACCACTTGCTATTCTGAATCATGTGTACTTTCCCAAAACGCTGCGGTTGGACCCAGAAGACTAGTGGTCATCCTGACATATGAAACGCATTAGTCCTCAGATCTTTGTTGGCACCGTCTGCGCCGAACCCACAGCTGCAATGGTGAAATGAGGTCGTGATTCAATATCATAAAAAAAAAAAAAAGACAAACAAGGTCTCATTGTGCGTCTGGGTACATTAGTCTGTGCAAACTGCTGTTGCATGCCAATTGGGAACAGAATCAATGATAGGGCACCCTGCTGCCTTTTGAAAAACGCACTGGCATTACAAAGAGCATTTGTGTGTGGCGGTGAGAGATTGGCATCGGTAAACGTTCCCTTTCCCCTCCGCTTGCATGAGATGGTCAGTGAGCACTGGAACACCTGTGGACCAGAATGGTATAATAACAACTTTGTTTCCCCAGGAAATGATGCGTTTCCTGGCTCGGGCAACACTAAGCTAAGATTAGAGCAGGAGACAGACAACTGGGAGGACAAACATTTACTATTCCACTCATGCTATGTACTTTGTCGTTTTTTTTTTTTTTTTTACACATCTTTTTAAGAAAACATAACAAAGCAAGAAAAAGATATTTTAAAAATCAGGACACCTTTCTGTGAAACAAAACAGTCCATGTCACCAAACTTTTCTTTATTTGGCATGAGACTGGGATTTAGCAGACCATAATTGTAAAAATACATTATTCATATACACCTCTAGTAAAAAACACTATTGAAAACATATCTAAAAATATACAGTGAGACATAACAGCAGAATAAAAACAATTTGCAGGGGTAGGAGAAAGGGTTTGTGGGGGGTATTTTACAAGGTAACTGAGGAATGCTAACACATAACAGTCATAGTTTCCTCTGCCCTCAGTCCTCTGGTCCAGACATTTGGTACCAATATGTGCCCGCACTTCAGAAGAGACAGTTCATGCACTTCACAGCCTTGCTGCCGTAGTCCACGCACTCGGGTCCGATGCACTGGCAGCAGGCGTTGTGAAACCAGCGGTACTTGGATCCTCCCATTGACTCACAGTATAGTTTACACTGACGGATAGACACGCAGTCGTCAAAGTAGACCACTGTGCACATGTTTTCTAAAAAAGAAATAAGAAAAAAGGAGAGAAATGTGAGTCACAAATCCAGTAAAATGTGGTCTGTAAAAACATGCACCGTTTTAAAAAGTGATAAAATCTTTAACCCTCAATGTTCCTACTTTTACTTTTAGGGGTAAAATTAATTTGCTGCAACTAAGTATGACCATATGTTTCTGGTGAGCTTAATGAGTTAACTGCTCGGCTCTGTGGGAACACTCCTATTATGAGAGCGTCTTTATAGCAAATAGCGCTGGCTTAGGAAGGTAGAGAGCCAAAACAGCCGCAAATGAAAATAAAAAACTGGAGGTCTTTTGGAATTTTGAAATGATGAAAACCTGACCGAACCCAAACTGGTCTTAGTTCAAGCCTTTGTAGACGACTTCAACTCTGGGTCGGGCCTGATTTTATTACCACGGGTCTTAGTGAGTGTGCATAAATGTAAATGAAACGTTTGACTGGAGCTGACAGGACCAGAAAGCTATGTAATACCAAAGCATGTTTTTCCTCTTGTAGTGTAATGTATTCAGAAACTTTATTAGTGATGTGGTTGTGACACAAGCGCTCTACAGGGGCTTTAAGGACCCGTGTGTAGGATTTTATTGCAGATTACATTTCCTTCACTTTAACCTCTCCCCCTTCCAAGTGCCTAACTTCCTCAAAGATACTCAATTTACTGCTGAGAAAAGCAGCAAATTCTCACCTTCAAGAAGCTGGGACAAGCAAATGTTTGGCCTTTTACTTAAATTATTAACAGATTTTTAATTTTCAGAATATTTTTGGAGCTATGTCGTATTATGGAAAGATCCTAGTTCATGTGAAATAGACACAGACATTGGAGGAAGATGTAAAAGTAGCTAATGGGAACATGTAAGGAGCATTTAAATGCTTGTGGTTGGTTGTGGCGTAGCTAATTTAACTACTTTATGAACTGTTGGGTAGATTAAGCAATAACAAACGCTTCATATTTTTTCAAGCTCATCAGATGTTTTATGTCAAATTGTAACCTACAAAGTAATTATTAACCAGTCAAATAAATGTAGTGGAGTAGAAAGTACAATATTTACAGCAAAATAGAGGTAATAGTAGGATAAAATGGACATTTTTCAGTCAAGGAGAAGTACAGTACTGAAGATAATACATTCAAATACAGGTCATGTGTCTGTTTTGGGGACTTATTTTACACTGAAAATCTGAATCTGAAACTTCCTATAAAGAGGGACCTTCAGTATGTGGATGAATATGTATTTGAGAAGCTAGTGAAGAGTGAACGAAGCATCACCTTGAGTGTCGTAGCTGGCGTGGATGCTGTTGCCAGGCACGGAGACGTTCTGGGGCTGGTTGTCGAGCGACTCCAGGAAGGACACCAGGTTCTCGTGATGGGAGAGCTCCTCGGCGACGGGGAAGGACACCACCATCATGTTGATCGGAGCGTCGCCTTCCGTGAGGGCCCGGAAGAGCGAGGGGATCGGACGGTGCAGCTCCTCCACGGTGCTCTTCGACGTGGCCGGAGAGTCGCTGTAGTTCTTGGGGTTACACATCCCTGCGTAAGAAAGATGGATGAAGACATTAAAAGGGTCAGTTTCCAAAAAAAAAAAATTACAAAATCTCTATTCAGATAGTTTCTTTTTTGTCTCTCTCAAATACAACAGTGGCACCAGAAATAATGTCCTTGTTACTCTGGATAATCCGGGATTTACTGTCAATAGTTTTCATTACTTTCTACCAAAGAAATAGTCCCTATAAACACTTTGTACTTTGTGGATTATCCAGAGTAACGGTGACCAGGGGAAATGTTCATGGGGTGCTTTAGAGACTTTAGGTAGTTGATTTCCATTAAATATCTTCATTTAATCAATAAATTGTTTTATTTCTGACATTTTTTCAAATAAATATTTTTTCATTGAAGGCTATAACTCAAAATGTGGCCATAACTGGTCATTGAATTAAATGTGTTATTTTCATTGTTTAACACAATATTAAAAAAATGTATCTAAATTAATGTGTTCAATTTGACGGCTTTTGACCCCAAACTGGAGTGGCCATACATTGTTAATGCCACTCATTTGGATCCTTCCCCGACGGAGACACTGTGCTTGAAAAGACACAATTGAATTATTACAGTATTTCAGTAATGTACTACAGACCAAATTCCATTTACCTCCCTTGTATTGAGATCAGGGTCATGAGTTCAAACTTCCCCAGAGCACAAACCCAACCACAGATGTTTCTGACAACCAAATTCTGTAAAATTATCTTAATATTTTCAAAAATGTTCAGATTTTATTAATTAAATGTATTATATCCCCATACATTACGGTTTACATGTTTGAAGTCTTCCATTTTAATTTTATTTTAAATTTGCAGTCAAATCTTAAAACATTTAGTCTAAAAACCCAACGTAAACTCCCCTTTCATGTCATTAATAAACATATATACTCTATTAGCAAGGACATGTTAGTGCTAGCTACAGCTTTGACTGGGATGAGGCAGAATTGAACCTGGGTGAATAAAACCAAAAC